ATTAGGTAGAAGGCACAAATTCTGGTATTCTTTTGAACAATAGGGTGACTAGATTCAATAAGTCTCAGGCAATGACTTTTAAATAAGACCCCTAAAGCTCAGGAAGTAATACTAAGAATTAATAAACAGAATGGTACAAGTTAAAATTCTTACGCACAGCAAAGGAAACAAGAAAGTGAAGACAGTACTTATAGATTGGGGGGAAAAAAATCTTTGCTAGTTATTCTTCTAACAGAGGATTAATTTCCAGAATATACAAAGAGCTAAAAACAAAAAACCCAATTAATAAATGGTAAAATTAACTAAACATACTTCTCAAAAAAAGAAATATAAATGGCCAACAAATATATGAAAAAAAATGTTTGACATTGTTAGCAATTATGGMAGTACAAATCAAAATGACACTGAAATTTCATCTCACTCCTGTAAGAATGGCAGCCATCAAGAACACAGATAAAAAAGGCTGGACAGTATATGGAAAAGAATGTTTTTACACCATTGGTGGGACTGTAACCACTATAGAAATAAATATGGAGGTTCCTCCAAGGACTAGGCATGGAACCACCTGGTGACCCAGCCTTGGTATTTATCCTGAAGAATTAAAGTCATCATACTACAGTGATACATGCATAACCATGTTTATAGCAGCCCAATTCACAGTAGCCAAACTATGGAACCAGCATGAGTGTTCATCAATATGGATGAATAAATCTTTTTAAAACGTGGTATATGTACACACAATGGAGTTTTACTCAGCCATAAAAAAATGAAATTATATCATTTGCAAGAAAATGGATGGAACTAGAGACCATTATGTTAAGCAAAATAAATCAGACTCATAAGGTCAAGGATTGTATGTTTTCTGTCATATGTGAAAGAGAGGCAAAAGGAAAAGGAAGGTGGGGGATTCTATGAAAACTGAAGAGAGATGAGTAAAGGAAAGGGACATGTGGAGGGAGGAAAAGAGAGAAAGAGGAAATACTGGGGAATAATATTGGCCGAATTTTATTATTATATTGTGTGCATGTACAAGTATATAATGACAAATCCCAGTATTATATATGATTTTAATGTACCAATAAAAATATGAAAAGAAGAAAAACTCATGTACTATAATTTTAAAATAGCAGAAGATTTCAAATGTTTCACTACAAAGAAGTGATAAATATTTTGAGTGAGGGATATGCTAATTATCCTGATTTGATCATTACACGATGTGTGCATGTATATACATCAAAAATCATAATATCGTACTTCTTAAATTTATGCAATTATTATATGTTAATTAAAAATAAAAGAAAAGAAAAGCCAAACAGGAAATTGGGTAGATAAAGAAGACTACTAGAGGTTGGGGAAAGTAAGGAAAATCAGAGTTCCAGGTATGATCATGTTAAGTTTGATACCTGTCAGGTGTATTCACAGGAGAGATGCTGGTAAACTTAACTTTTAGAAGATTTTGGAAACTCAGAAAGAGTTTTAGACCAAGAGTGTAAATGTATGAGTTGACAAGATAGATCTGGTATTTAAAATCATGAAACCAGTGAGTTCACTCAGGGAGTGAGTATAAAAAGAAAGTGAAGAGGTCCAAGACTTGTACCCCAGGGTACCTCCAGGGAGGTGGGAAGATACTGCAAAAGAGATGAAAGAGAGCAATCAATAAGAGCAAAACTAGAAAGAGAGGAGCCCAGTGTGAAAGGGTTTCCTGGGGGAGGAAATGGATTATTGCTTGGCTCCCACTTAGGAGTGCATCTAAAATGAGGACAGAAGTGAACCCCAGTTTTTGGCAACATGGAAACCACTAACAGCATTGACAAGAGCAGTGTCAGTGAAGCAGTAGAAATGAGAGTCCTGCTAGAGCAAGTTCAGTGACAAGAGGAAAAGAGAAATCACAGATAAGGAGTGCACACAGTTCTTGAAAAATTTGTTGTTTTGTTTTTAATAACAAAAAAAGAAGGTATTAACTGGATGGGGGGAAGTGAGGAAAGAGAGGTTTGGGGGTGTTTTGTTTTAAGATGGGGACACAACATTGTATGTGCTAGGAGATAAGGGGAAATTAAAAGAAAGAAAATAAGGTAGAGAGCAAGAGAACTGCTAGAGCAGTTTCCATGGATACGCACATTGGATGGGATGCAGTGTGGAAGTAGGTGGGTTGAGTTGATGTTCCACAATGCAACACACTTCACATGCTTAGCTTTTACTAAGTACTCAGAATGGATGGATATTAAGCCACCAGCTGTCAATTAAAAGGACTGGGCTAATATGATCTTACAGTTCCAGTACAACAACAACTCAGTAGATCAATGAAAGTAAGAAGAATAGAATAGTGACAATGAAATCCAGACAGTTAAAGTAGCATTGAATCATACTGAYGAGTGCCAAGGATGCTGATCTGATAGTTTGGGTAACTGTTTACACTGGACTCATAGGGTGAGTTTGCCAGAGCCAGGATTCTGCTTGGTACTTGACTCCTTATAGATGCTCATCTGGTTGATTAATCAATTATCTTTTCCTTTTAAAAATTCAACATGATGAAAAACCCTTGTCTGTTGCCTCACAAACACTGCATGGAATAATGTTATTCCCAGGCACTTTTCATATTTCTCCATTAACTTTTACTAATTGATTAGGGCTGAGCCATAGAGCCAATTTATGTTGAGGAACCAAAGGAATGATGGACAGTGCCATTTCCATTGGGAAGCAAATGGGTTGGAGCCACTACTATCCAGCATGTATTTGTAATATAAACCCAACTGTGTGCCAGGTACTAAAAGTAATTCATCACACTTATGAAACATATCTCAGCAAATACAAAACTTTGGGAAGCTACATTTTGTTATTTAATGCTTGTATTCTTTTACTCATAATAATTAACTTCACCAAGGTATGGTAGATAATGAATTCAATGCATCTTATTTCTTCAGTTATTTTAATATCAATTTGAAGCTGTGTTCCTTTGGAAAAAGAAACCCCAGGTATAACAAAATCACATCTAGGAATAGAGCAAACTATTTGACAACACATCATTACAGAAGAAGTAACATGGAAAACATTAACAAAAATGATAAAACTTCCAATTTTACAAAGTAAACTCAACAACAAATCACCAAAAGTATTAAAAAATGCAGGAAAGTCTTAGAAATCCACTCTGGGGATCTACCTCTGTCTTTCTCATGATTGTTACAATCTGTGGATGACAATCATTAATATTACAGAATCTCTATCAATGAAACTTTTATTTAACCCATACCGCTATGGCTATATTCTAGGATTTTTTTATACTTTTGCATGTTTTAAAATTGCAGTTTTTTCCTTGCAATAATTTCCCTTTAGGAATTCCTAAAGGGAAAATGATAAACCAAAATATCTCAGAGGTGCTTTGGCTACAATGTATGGAAGCTGATTTCTGACTATGGATTMACAGATACAGCAAATCCATCACTTGTTGCTCAATCTAATAATTTGTTTATTTCAAAGTTAGGCAAACACCCCCAAATCCAGCACACTATGTGGTTTTATAAATCAAGTTTTATTGGAACACAATTCCATTCAATTACCTTTTTTTGTCTAATACTGCTTCTATCCAAGAATTTTTTAAATTCATAATTTAGCAAATGAATCTCCATTAGGTACAGGCACCTACAAGTCAATAGACTGACTTTTTAGGCTGTCATGAGAAAGGACTTTTTCACATGCTTCTGTCAAAATGGAAACATTTGAAATACAGTTTTGCCCTCTAAAGCCTATAATTTTTGTAACTTATTTCTACTCCATACATCTCCACASAGCATCTAAACCTCCTAGCACTTTATCTTTACTTAAGGACTTTGGAAAATATGAAAAGACTCTTAAAAGATTATTCTTAGATTATTGTCATTTATTCAAAATATCAGTGTGCAACTTTTTTTTCCAATGTCACATGTGTACGAAGAAAAGCATGGAATTGAGTAATCTTCCAAATGCTGGTATTTGTTTCCACTGTTAATCTTTAAGGTCCTAATTTTTCTCTGTCCTAAGCAAGAATCAAAACATTTTAATTCTTTCAACAGAGTACTATAATAAGTTTATAGTTGCTATGTCTCAGACAGCCTACATTTAGGGAAGGAACATTTCTAATTTCAATTTACAATGATGTCAAGAAACAACACGTATCTGCGGGCAAAGATAAGAAAAACATGCAAGGGTATACAGTGATAGCTCTACTTAAATAAATAAACTTTTGGTACTAGTGATTAGGTACACAGGATTATTATGTGTTTAATTGGCTAACGTGACAATTTGGAATTACTTCTAGTCACATTTAATTGGATTTAGAATCTCTGGAGAAAAGAAATACAGAGTCCTAGCAAAGAAATAGTCATAAAAGTAAACTGTTTTTCCAAAGGGTGCTAAGTAATGAATTAATATCCATTGCACAATAGTTTTTAATATCGCTTCAGCTTAATAAGACCAAAGCAGTGATTGTACACACTAGATACTAAAACTAATTCAATTAGGCACAAGGCTTGGGGGAAGGGAATTATCTGTTGGAATCGGAGATTTTTTTATTTTCAATTTCAGAAAAGCTAACTTAATCAGAGGTTAGTAATCATTAACTTGGGTAAAGTCTGAGGTATGCTTAAATATTTTTCTAATAGCTATATGCAGTTTGAAGACATTTTAAAGTCTATAAATTTGCTATTATTCTATAAATGCTTAGAATCGTAATACAAAGCAACAAAAACAAAACAAATCCTTATAGTCTTTAAATATTCTTATACTGTACAAACAGGAAAACCATCTAGAAGAAAAATGGCTTCTTTCTTCTCACAGTTTTAGTTTAGCTACAGAAAAAAAAAAAACCCTACTTTCTACATTCTAAAATGTGCTTTATGTTTTACTTAATTTTAGGCAAGTCAAATTTATGCATTACAAAATCTTCCTCAGTATCTGTATATACTACCTATTATGGCTTTCCTTCTGTCCTGTGAATTTGTTTGTTACAACTCTGCTCTTGTTCTCAGGAGTGCCATGATTGCTGACTACATATTCTGGCTCAGAGGAGGAAGTGACCAGTGTGTAAGCAAGCTCATCAAGCTGTATTGGCAGGTAAAAATTGATGTCCCAACTGGGGAGGAGGAGCTCCTCTCATGTTTAGGACCAAAATGAAGGATTGGTACTTAAAAGACTGCTGAAAAAGGTAGCTCTGGGCATATCAATCAGGACACTACCCAGTAGTAATATATTTATAATGAAGTAGATTTTCTAAGACTAATTTTAAGGGCAAAGTCAAGGTTGTTAACCCTTGGCCCATACTTCAGTTTTACAACCCAATATAAATTTTAGACATCCCTAGAACTATTTTTCCAGGCATGCTGCTATAATGACATGATCCTTTAAAATATGAACATTGTATCCAGAGTATATAAAGAACTCAAAAACTGTTGTCAACATTAAAAAAAACAAGTAATACATAAATGGCAAATGAACTGAACACACTTCTCAAAAGAAGAAATACAAATGACCAAAAATTATATGAAAAATATTCAACATCTTTAGCCATCAGGGAAATATAGGTCAGTACATTGAGATTCCATGTCACTCCAGTTAGAATGGCAACCATCATGAATACAAATAATGATAAATGCTGGTGAGGATTCACAGGGAAAAGGAATTCTTATATACTGTTGATGGGGATATAAATTAGTACAGCCACTATTGTAATCAGGATGGAGGTTGCTCAGAAACTAAAAATAGATTTACCATATGATTGAGGTATATCATTCCTTGGTGTTTATCCAAAGAAATAAAATCAGCATATTTTAGGGATACATGCATACCCATGCAGCACAGTTAGCAATAGTAAAGGAATCAGCCAAGGTATGGGTCAACAGATGAATGATAAAGAAAATAGCCATAATAAAGAACAAAATTGTGTTATTTTCTGGAAAATGGATGGAACTGGAAAACATAATTTTTCAGCAAAAATAAACTCAGAAAAGTATCATATGTTCTCTCACATGTAAAAGCTAAGAAGAAAAATGAGGGGAAAGAACTCAGTGAAATTAGAATGGATGGCACTAGAGCAGATTATGCTAAGTGAAGCTAGCCAAKCCCTAAAAAACAAATGCCAAATGTCTTCTTTGATATAAGGAGAGYAACTAAGAACAGAGTAGGGAGGAAGAGGATGAGAAGAAGATTAACATTAAACAGGGACAAGAGGTGGGAGGGAAAGGGAGARAGAAGGGAAATTGCATGGAAATGGAAGGAGACCCTCATCGTTATACAAAATTACATATAAGAGGAAATGAGGGGAAAGGGGAAAAAAAACAAGAGAGAAATGAATTACAGTAGATGGGGTAGAGAGAGAAGATGGGGGGGGGGGGGAGGGGGATAGTAGAGGATAGGAAAGGCAGCAGAATACAACATACACTAGTATAGCAATATGTAAAAATGTGGATGTRTAACCGATGTGRTTCTGCAATCTGTATATGGGGAAAAAATGGGAGTTCATAACCCACTTGAATCAAATGTATGAAATATGATATGTCAAGAGCTAATAATGTTTTGAACAACTAATAATTTAAAAAAAGAAAAAAATACAGGAGAGGAAGGGAATTAGGGGGAGGGAAGGAAATGAAACTTCATAGTTTGAAATTTCCCAAATTATGAAATTGATCAGATTATGTCTTTAGGTATGCACAAATATACCACAATAAACTCAATATCTGTATAATTTAACATGCTCTAATAAAAATATGAATGTTGTATTTTCATAGTTTATTATTGATCTATGTCCTATAAAAGTGGATGTTAGAAATATTATCAATTACATAGTAAAAGATAATGCTAAGATCAGATGTATTTATTGGGCGACATTATTTGAAACACTTAATCAACAACAAAGTACAAATCTTATTTCTTTTTTATTATTCAAAATGACAGCAAGAAGCCATACAAAGATCAATTAGATGCCAAAAAAATGATCCATAATTTCTTACAATTATAAGGAGAATTATAATTTAGAGGATGATGTCCTTCACAACATACAAATCTTTTCTTGTCCTATTCTTCCCCCATAAGTGGTCAATAGTTTCTGCTGAAATATATTTAAAATGGAGAAATCACTCATCCCACTCCCCAAAAATATTCAAAACTTACTAATTATTAAACTTTTTCCTTCATTTAAAGTGGATTTCCATTCCCTGAGAACTTCCATCCAATGGTTACCTCTAGAGCCACATGGACCAAAGGGAAATTCATTTCCAAATGAAATATTTTAAAATATTTGAAAACTCAACTACATGTGCCAACTTTCTCCCCTAAATTTTCTCTTCCCTAGACAATCTAGGGGTTTCTTTATATTTCAGAATAATTTAATTTAGTTGAATATGAAATTTGATTTTTCTCACACTTTCACTATTATATCACAATCTGTGAGGTGAACAGAGAGCCTACATCCTGGGAGCAAATATTTACCCCTCACACATCAGATAGAGCACTAATCTCTAGGGTATATAAAGAACTCAAAAAGCTAAACACCAAAAAAATAAATAACCCAATCAATAAATGGGCCAAGGACATGAATAGACACTTCTCAGAAGAGAATATTCAATCATTCAACAAATATATGAAAAAATGTTCATCATCTCTAGCAATTAGAGAAATACAAATCAAAACTACTGGAAGATACCATCTCACTCCAGTCAGAATGGCAGCTATTATGAAGACAAACAATAATAAGTGTTGGTGAGGATGTGGGGAAAAAGGCACACTCATACATTGCTGGTGGGACTGCAAATTGGTACAGCCAATATGGAAAGCAGTATAGAAATTCCTTGGAAAACTTGGAATGGAATCACCATTGACCCAGCTATCCCTCTCCTCAGTCTATACCCAAAGGACTTAAAAACAGCATAATACAGGGACACAGCCACGTCAATGTTTATAGCAGCACAATTCACAGTAGCTAAACTGAGGAACCAATCTACATGCCCTTCAGTAAATGAATGGATAAAAATATGTGGCATATTGAATGGAATATTACTCAGCAATAAAAGAGAATAAAATCATGGCATTTGCAGATAAACGGTGCAGTTGGAGAAGATAATGCTAAGTGAAGTTAGTCAATCCCCCCCAAAACAAATGGCTAATGTTTTCTCTAATATAAGTTAACTGACTCATAGTGGGATAGGGAGAGGGGCATGGGAGAAATAGACGAACTCTAGATAGGCAGAGRGGTGGGAGAGGAAGGGAGGGGGCAGGGGGTTAGCAATGATGGTGGAATGTGATGGACATCATTATCCAAAGTACATGTATACAGACATGAACTGGTGGGAACATACTTTATATACAGAGATATGAAAAATTGTGTTCTACATGTGTAATAAGAATTGTCATGTATTTAAAAAAATAAAAGCAATTAAAAAAAGATTTTGAGAAAAAATAAAATCTTTATAGGAAAAAAAGAATTAGTAAGCATGAAAAATAAATACTATGAGCTATAAATATAGATGAGAAAGGAAGACTTTTTTTTCCTTTTCACATTTTTATTGGTGCATTATAGTTGTACATAATGGAGGGATTTGTTACATATTCATACTTGCACACAATATAACAATATAATTTTGGCCAATATCACTCCCCAGTAATTCTCCTTTCCCTTCCCTCCTACTCCTGAGTCCCTTTCCTCTATTTTGCTGATTTCCCTTTGATTTTCATAAAATCCCCCCCATTGTTCTTTTTCTAAAAAAGAAAGACTTTTGAAAGACTTCTTTAGAGAAGAAAGAAAGGAATTGAATCTTGAGAATTGGGCAATATCCAGTAGACTTGGCAGAGAGTAGGTTCCTAGTAAATATTGGTCTTCACTTGTTCATTCATTAAACAAACATATATTGAGTATCCACTGTGTTTTCTACATTGAACTAGGAAAAAACAGATCCAATACAGGTATAATGTAAGACAAATTGAGAGCTTGAAATTTTTGTAAATAAAAAATATTTTAAGTTTCCTTTAATTTTCAGAGAACATCAATACTCTTATTTTATTTACMTCAAATGAAGAAAATAATCTCCACTTACCAATACACATGTTTAAAATATTAAAAGGAATAAAAGCAAATTCTTTGTTTTACTATTTTGTATTAATAAATGGCAAGAAAAACATACTTCTCTTTATATTCTTTTCCTTTTTTAATTGAAAGTTAATTGCATAGTGGAAAAATGCCCATCTGTTAAGTCAGATCTGATTCAGTACATGTTCTAACACCAACTAGTCTAGTAATAGAATTTTAGGGAAGTTAAGTGTTTTGCTGGAACTAAAGGAGCTTCAACTAGGTAGTAAGGAATGACCAGCATAAAGAGTTAGAGAAGCTCTATTCTTAAAGCTCATTTTAATATTATAATTGCATCCAAATTTTCAGGCTCTTCCAAAGATCTTCCTAAAATTTTAAGGAAAAATGAAGCAACATAATTAGAAATCTCATCCTGCAGATAAACTGCATATATAAAAACCCTCCTTCCAGGCCCAACACCAGAACAGCACACTATTTCCTCACCAGTTATATACTGTCTTCTGCTAAACAGCTTCTTTATTTTCATTCAAATGTACYCATGTCACCCCATCCTGCCCCAAACTTCATTCTGTCCTAAATCAGAAGGGGGTTTTGGACATTGCCATTGACATGTCATCTTTGAAGACAGAGGTGCCAGGGATACCCAATCCATCCTGGCAATTACACTTACCAATTTAAGAATGTTCCCAAACATCTCAGACTAGAGATCGCATCTGTGTATACATTTGAAGATTGACTAGACACCATTTTTACCTCCTCTGTAAGATAAGTTCTTACGTATAGATAATTCCAAACTTAAAATGATTTGATTTGTGACATTTTAACTTTACAGTGGTGCAAAAGCCTATCCATGCAGCTGTTGTTCACTGCCACTACAACATTCAATAAATTCAATAAGTTACATGAAATATTCACTACATTTTTATAAAATATGCTTTGTATTTCCCAACTGTAGGCTACTCTAAGTGTTCTAAGCACATTTAAAGTAGGCTAGGCTAAGTTGTGATATTCAGTAGATTGGGTGTRTATTAAAAGC